GCCCCGCCCCGTTGCCATCCCTAACACTATGCTTCATGGCATTGTGTACAACTATCATTTTCAAATTTTTTTTTAGCTAAAACCAATACTTTCCTCATTCATTTTGATTTTTTGTCAGCATTATTTAAGAGACTATGCTACAGATATATAATTTATTGTATATACTGGTGTCCATACTTTCATATAGAGGGGACCCACTTCAGATATGTTTTATTTTATTCAAGGTGGGTTCCACTACATGTAAAAGTGTGAATTCTTATTTAAGACTGCGCTTATAATTTTACTAAAGCCTGACATCAAAGCTTACGATAATTAACAGTGAACAAATCGGTTTTCTCTTTAACCTTTATTGCAACTCCTTCGGTAATATTATAAATTTTAATATTTGTAAAATGATTTCTAATACTTGTTTAAAATAAACACACGTGTGCTTCCACCATGTAACATCTGAGGTCAAAATTCAACGTTTTATGTCTGACCAAAGAAAAATAATACAAATGAGAAATTTAAGACTTTCACGATTGACGGTTTTATTTTATTTCCTTAAATTTCTCAGAATTTGAACCTTAATAATAGAAAATATCCCTTTCTTTTACCGGCTTTCTTGACCGGCTGACTATTTTCTCTGCCTATATATCATATTTACATTTTTGCTTCTCAGCATCATCACCTCTCTCTCTCTCTCTCTCTCTCTCACACACACACACACACACACAGAATGGAAACCATTTGGAACCCATTGAAGAGGCAGTGGAAGAGAAAAGGATACTACAGATTATCGACTGCAAATAGAAAGAACGTGAAAGTCACAAGGTTTGGAGCTGGAAACATAAAGCGGTCATGGAGGATAAAAAAGTTTCGATTTAGACTGCCTTCTCCATTGAAACTGTGGTACAAATTCAAGAACGCCTACATGAACATGATGCTGAAGATGGCAGTAAATTCAGGCTCTGACAAAACATTTGGTGCAAAAAGAATTCCCAAAGCTCGACAACCTTCACTGCCTCATACCAATACTGAATTTGAAAACAGGTTGATATATGAGATTTATAAGTCCATGGTGACTTCACTGGAATTGGGTTATACTAAATAGCTCCAACTGAGTTTTACTTTTTTGGGTTTGTTTATTGGAATTTGGATGTTTTTGTTTATCGTTGTACTTTTTGGAAAATTCTTTTATTTCTTTTGAATTTCAAATGTAATCGATAACTGAAGAAAATCAATGGCTGAAATGTATGAAACTGTGTCAAATGATGTAGTTTGTAGTGACCAATATGCCCCTAATAAAATATTAGGCATGTTTGATGTAATTTGTTTGAGAATATGTGAAAAGTAATTTTTTTTTTTTTTAAATACGTTGTTAAAAAAGTAACGAAAGTTATGGGTCGATGCGTAAAATATTTTATTAAGAGAATGTATGATTGAAAATAAATTTGAATTTTTTAAAATCTGTACCAAACATGGAGATATTGTCATGGTTGGTCCACCCAATTATACTTTTGCTTCCATTAGCTTGAGAGAAGATTTTTTTTTCCCCCTTTGTAATTATGATTTAGGAATCGTTTGATTGTATAGGTAGAAAATGAGTGGAAATAAAATGTTTTATAAGGAATTGAATTGCCTAAAAATTGTTTACTGAGAATTGTAATTAATTGTTTTTGATTTGTATAAATTTTCACCTTGTCTGTTAGGTATTGTTTTTCATGAAAATTGTCAATTAAATGAATACAATTTCTTATAATTGAGGATATAATTTGTTTAGATTGCCAAAAAATAAAAATAAAAAAATTGATGTTCGTTTGACTCTGTTTTACATGGAAATTATTGTAGGAAATAAAACCAACCATAATGTTTACCGTCATAAGATCGTTCATGTTGGATCATCAAGAACTAATAACCAAAAGCGGAAGCGTACCTGGATCAGACATGATTATCGCAATGAATAAGTCCTGCGGTTTCAGTCTTCCAGATCAACACGTTGTTCCTTAGTTTCTCTCTGAAGATGGGAGTCAGAATAGAATGAACAGAACGTGTGATCCGGGGACCATAACCGTATATTTATACTGATTGCCTATTGACCTAATCCGGCCCATCATGGAATTAGGAATAGGCCCGGTCTCTACACATATGAGCCCATACTTTAATTAGATGCTTCAAAGCCCAAAATACCGAAACCTTATTAGATCACTTTAAATGGGCTTAACCGAAATTGATAGCCTTTAATTTAATACACAATATTTCACATATAAGCCCACATGTTTGATTAAAAATCCTTACAATCTCCCACTTGGGCTATATGTGTTACCTTATATTTGTGCATTAAATATAACCTTATGAGTACTCAGAATTTTGCTATCATTACCGAATGCATCCCCAAACAATCCGGTCCATCAATCATATCAACATAGGATCAAAGAGGCTTTCGCTACTTGTATCGTAACTAAACCCATCAATGGTCACGTATATTGACATAACTGAATGACATGGATCAAGCATGGATGTGTAGCATGGAAATTTCATGTGATGTGATCTTAACATGCCTATTTCCAACTGGTCCACCTTAATACCTTAGTGAGATCATTTTC